AGAGACCAGGCTTCTATCTTGTTGCTTTGCCATCTTCACTAAGTGGTTTCACCTTGGGTCCAAGATAGCTGCTCAAGCTCCAAACATCATGTCCACATTCCAACCACCAATGCTGTAAAGAGAAAAGCCATGTCTCCTAGCCACAAGGATACACCTTGAAAATAGCACAGGACACTTCCATTTACATCCCACAGACCCACTCAGTATTGTGGCGGGGGGAAGAATTTAGTTACATAACCCCACCTAACTGCAAAAAAAAATCCAAAAAACCTGGGAATTAGTCTTCATCCTGGGCAAATGGATACTAGCTGACAACAACCAAAGCAGTCTGCCACATTCCTGGAAGCAGGTAAGGAATGGAAAAATAGACTTTCCTCTATTGTCTTGCAGAGCTAAGTTTCCAATCCCAGAATACATATTTCAGAAAAGCTTCCTTCGTGGAGAGGATTGTGAGGCCTAGTGCCTAGAGCTAAAGCCCTTATTCAAATACGACCCACATAACTACATTATTTTGAAATCTTGATTGCAGTGCAAAAAGCTAAAGAAACTAATTTCAAGGCTATAAGAAGCTTTCAGTTTTTCAGAAGCTGGAGACTTTTGAGAAAAATACCTCAAAGTTATGCAAATATTCATCTAAAATCATCTGAAAATGAAGATATTTGAGAAGCTGGGGCCAGACTGCTCCATGAGACCATGGAAAAGGTGGCTTATTCTACAGTTGCATCTCTACAAACAAATTTCCTTTAGAGAATTGTTTCTTTTTAAATGTGGATTTAAGCTTCAGTGTGATAGTAAACTACTGTTTGTTCTTAGGGAAAACTCCACTTAGATTTAAGAGGGGCTCACAAGAGATCAGGAGTTGAAACTATCAAACCTACAGGAATCTCTTCACACTGGAGGAAGAACTGCAAAAAAGGTGGCAGGCAAAAGTAAAGGGCATTCTAGATTATATCCCTGATGTCCTACATATTGGTGTTAAACCTGAAGAACTCATTAGTGTGTTATTGGGTTTGTTTGTTTGTTTTTACAGACAGTGTCCTTTTTTTTTTTCTTTTGAAACAGAGTCTCACTCTGTCGCCCAGGCTGGAATACAGTGGCACAATCATAGCTCACTTGAATTCCCAGACTCAAGCAATCCTCCTGCCTCAGCCTCTAGAATCACTGGGATTACACCACACCTGGCCTAATGTTGATTACTGTATTCTGGTAGGATTCTCCTGGTGAAGTCACTCCCATAAAGGTAGGATGTTGCTTCCCTAAAGTATGCTGACCGATCATTCCAGTTTTTCCAGGACTGAGGGGTTTTCCAGGACACCTGACTTTCCATGCTAAAACTGTGATAGACATGAGCAAATTGGGGCAGTTGGTCACTCTAAGAATGGACTGTAGGAGTCTGAAACTAGCCTGAGCAAGAGCGAGACCCTGTCACTACTAAAAATAGAAAAATTAGCTGGGCGTTATGGTGCTCAACTGTAGTACCAGCTACTGGGGAGACTGAGGCAGGAGGATTGCT